CACACACACACACACACACACACACACACACACACACACACACACTGGGTGCAGCTGGCGTGTTCACCTCAGCTGAAATCAGCTGAGTTATGTAAGGCGTCCAGCCCACATAGGTTCAGCGAGCTCTGCAGAGATCTGACGGCAGCAGAGACTTTGTGTTTGTGTTCAGAGAGCCGAAACACAAAGAGGGAGGTGTGTACACCACCAAGTGGGGAAACAAATACGAGGCGAAACACTGGGTATTACACAAAAAAAAGGAAATGAAATGAAATATAAAATAAAGATGATGAAAGGTTTTCATTTTAACAGACTCCATCGTTGAGAAGATTATAAAACCCACTGTTACTGATGAAAACTGGCTTAAAGTTACAAAGAAGAATTGCCTAAAACTTGTCAAACTGAAGGCCCGTGGGCCAGAAATGGGTCCTGATACAACTTTGTCTGGTCCACGAGATTTTATTTTTAATATTAGAGCAATCACTTCCAAACTTATGATGGTACTTGGTGCTGAATTCTCATGACAATTAGTCGATTTTAGGGCTGAAATATTTTCAATAAATTTTAGTTTGATTTGGAAAAAACAAAAAAAAATCTAAAGTTTGCTTTAATGTAATTTCAATTTTTTACTTCTTGCTTTGTTTTGTGAATAAATTGTGATATTAACCCAACATTTCTGCAAATAACATGCAGCTTTGTTTGTTACAATTTAGTTCATGCAATAATGCAATACATGAAATGTTTTTAAGTAAAATCCTTTTATTTGATCTATATTTAAGCTAGCTGCCAGTGTGTTGGCCCATGTTTTCTTTGTTTGTTTTGGAGGAGTATTGGTGTACACTTGGGCAGCAAAGGCTCATTTCATAAATTAACAAAAGAGTATTTTTTTGTCTCATAAAATGTGCAACACTAGACTAAATGTCTCTTGTAGTCACTTGTATTTTGTGTTTAATCTTAATAAAATTTAAAGTATTTAGATTCATTTATTCATTTAATAACAAGTAACAAAACAAAAATATCAAATCAAATCCTAAAGTTATCATCATGAGTGAAAACTGTAAACTGGGCCAACAGAAAACTGTAAGTGGAAACACAACCATGGACCAAATCAAATGGTTTATCTTTGGGCTCCTCTGATTTATAATAAATAATCATATCTTTTTTTATCTCTTATTTGTTATAATTTGAGTTGAGAGGATGAAGTTTTCAGAAGCTGGGCAGAGGTTCACCAGTCTGTGTCAAAATATCAAAAATAACGGAACATTGTTTAGAATAAACTGAGAATAATTTCATCATCAGATTATCTCTAAGATGAAATTCAGTGAATGGTTGCATTTTACAGTAAAAATGTTCACATTTATTTCTGTTGCTTTCAGTTGAGAGCATGTGCTGCATGTCTGCAGTGTAAATAAGTGCTGCAGCGTTTCTCTCTAAAATGATATTTATACATTTTTTCCTGGTGAGAACTGATTAAAACGAAGTTCATAACTCAGCCTCTCTATAATCTGGTCAATCCAGGCTGCCAAGGTGTCGTTCTCTCAGCCAGAAGCCATCCGTTACCCGTTTGTTGTGCTGCAGTTTGGTGCTGTTAGACAGAGAGCTGGTGGGTTGGGTTTTGGAGGGAGCGTATGTGAAATATCAGCCTGCCTGAGAAGAATAATGAGAGCCGAGGAGACGGAGGCAGGAATGAATGGAGGGTAATAACCCACTGGATGAAGTGAAGCAAACAGAAACAGGAAGTGATGCTGTGATAAATGGAGAATAGAGGTTTTTAATGTCGTCTCTTGTGTTTTTTTCTGTTTGTTTTTCAGGAGCGTCACGCTGACAGTCTGATACAGAACCAGCATTACCAGGTCAGTACTTCATGTTTTATGTTTCTGTTGTTTGATCCACAAAAACAATAAAGATTATCACATTTCTCTGATCTTACTTCCTGTTGTCTTTTGGTTATTTTATGTCATCTTTTTTGTGTTTTATTATTTGGTTTATTTCCTTTTGATTGTTTTGTTTTTGGTTTGTTGTCCTGGTTTAGTTCTGATCCATAGTGATGTTCAAAATTCAGGCTGGTATCAGCCATACTGATCCAATACAGATAGTTTGTACGAATATACTTTAATTTATTTTTAATTTATTCATTTTAATTCATTCATAAAACAAAACTATACGTATGTACGTAAAGTTTTGTTTTATATATACATATATATATATATA